CATAGAGACTTTGGAAGAAGGGCTTTGCTTTCGTTTGATTCACCTTGTATTTGCCGTAAGAAAGTTTTGTGTTTCAGTCCGTTATCTTCTGGCAGAGACTTTAATTAGTTTAGTTTGGCTCGCAGCCAGTTTGAACTGAGAACTGATAAAGAAAAGTCCTTTTAAGTTTGTCTGTCTTGCCATTTGTTAAAAGCTGTGAAGGGGGGACAGAACACTTTGCCTTGGACTCTGATTTACTTTTGGATGCTATTTGGAACCCTGACAAATAATTTGTAGCTTCATTCAGTTAACTGATCTAGAAAATATATTTTATGACAGTTGCAGTGTCCTGGGGTCATTTATGACCTTCCCAACAGGCTTCTGACAAGCAAAGTCCGGGGGGGCGGTGGAGCCAGATTTGCTTAATGATCCCATGATTCTTTTAACAACTGAAGCGATTCGCTTAACAACTGTGACAAAAAGGGTCAGCTATGGAGCAAAACTCACTTAACAACTTGGCGATGGGAAATTTTGGGTGCAGTTGTGGTCATAAATTGAGGACTACCTGTAGCCTTTTACCCCCTTGAGCAGCTTCTTTCTATCATAGGTTTCACATTGCTCCACGTTGTAACAAAGCAACCCTGTGTGGCAGCTGAGGGACATAATCCAAGCAGTAGGGCCCCCGTAAGAATGTGCCACATTCCAAATGATATTGAAATTCAAGGCGTCCATGATCTAACTAACACACCTCAATATGAGGTTTCTCAGATCTGGGAGTTCGGTCACATGTCCCTGGTAGATAATCATCGTAACGGTTCTTTTCATCCCAGACTTCGGAGCCTGCTGGCTTCTCCGAAGCCCTGGACCTTCCCCAGATCCAAGTGGGTCATCCATACTAGGTTGTCATTATTCCACACAGTGGATGTCCGGCTCTGAATCCCATGGAAGAATACCTTGACATAAGCATCCATTCTTGTGATATTGTCTCCCCAGAAACCATAGGCATGTCAAATTGTCACCATTAGCTTGCTCTGGCCTCGCTCCTGGGAGCAACACATGGTGTTAGTGGTGCCGTCACTGGGACACATGCAGGAGCAGGGATCTCGGAGGCTGTGTTTGGAGCCACGAGGGCAAGGCTGGATGCAGTTCCTCCAAAGGGCCCTTTCTCTGATGTACTCACTCACTGCCTGCTGCAAACTGTCCTGTTTTGGGTCACCCTTAGGCAGGAAACTTATCGAGCCCCGGACTGAGGCTTGACATTCTCAGAGGGGAGAGATAATGGGTGGAACTGGTGATAACCTACCCATGCCTGGGAGCATTGGGGGACTGGCTAGAATGGCTGACAGCAGAGTGGGATGGACAGCTGCAGGCAGTCATCACGAAGCCTCCGACGGCCGGCTGTATGGGGCAACAAAGAATGACACCCCTTTGGGCCAACTCATGCCAGCAGAGCTGCGTTGATCAGGCAGTTTGAAGCTGCAGCTGAGAACAAGCTAACCAGCTGGGAGGGGGAGGTTATTCGGTGCACTGGATGGTGGCTAACGTGAGGGTGTGGGCTGCGACAAGATAAAAGACACTGGAAGGCAAAAGCTCCCAGAGCTAACTTTATTCCTGTCTACAAACTCATGGTGTTCTGAGGTCCTGGCTTGTCACGGAATTAAAGATTTGTGTTGCTACGGTATCCAAGCATCCTAGTTTTTGTTCAGCCACATGGGCCAGGCCTAAACACGCTGAGAGAAAGTCAGCGCTCCCACATTCATCTATCTCAAGCTCTCCTGCCACCCGGAGAATCCCAGAGAGGCCTTGTTAAGCTATAGGATGGTAGAGGGAACATCAGTAGAGGCGCTGGAGACGGAGGCTGTAGTTGACGAGAGGGACATGGATGAAGCGGAGGCACAGGAGGATGTCAGCCAGCCCATGGTGAGGCCCAAGGAGCATGAGCACCAGGAGGATGGAGTGGTGAGTGGAGCTATTCCACCGCCCCTGGGAGTAATACCATGGAGATCCTGCAAGAATGTTTTGGGGAGGCTAGTTTCAGGGATGCCCCCTCCTAGCAACCATGGGCCATGGGGGTGGAACCGGCCACTACGTGGCAGAGGGGTCCCACTGGCACTCAGAGATCTGTTTCCATCTTGCCAGCCCTAAATTGCAGTTAGACCAGGTACCAAGCAGGGCTAGGATTATGGATCAGAATGGGCCCTGGGTAGCAAGGCTCCTCCCTGGTGGATGCTATATGGGGTACTGAGCAGACCACATAAGGGCCAGGTTGCCCAGGAGGGTCTCCATCAGGGTCAGATGACACCCAGGGGCTCACAGGGGAGACAGCTGAGCAATGGGCATAGCATCACAGTTACCTGACATGGACTGGGTAGCCGATCTCCATAGTGATCATGCCAGGGAGCTGGCAGATATGGGACTCTTCCTGAAAGCGCTTCGGGAGCTCATGTCACTTAAACAGCAGGGTCAGCCAATAAAGGACTATGTGAGGGAGTTTAGGAAAGTCACCGGAAGACTGTGGTCCTGGCCAGAATGACTTTTGGTCCACCAATTTCGCATGGGCCTGGATCGGGACCTGCATCAAGCATGTGTGTGCAGGGCGTTACCGCCCCAGTTACACGACTGGTTCCGGGCAGTTATAGAGTTAGATGTTGGTTTGAGAGAGTTCATACCACAAGGGGACAGAGGCTTTGAACAGCCAAGATGGGTTGCGGACAGACCAGCACCTCCCAAGCCAGCAAGGCCTGCTATAGCAGTTCCGGATGCATCTGACCAGGCCAGGAGGCCACCACTTCTCTGTTTCAGGTGTAATCAGATTGGGCACTGGGCAGAGGAGTGTCCTGCTCCAGCACCCCGAACACCAGCCCCCAAAACACCATCAACCGGGGGGAAAATCAAGGAGCGGCCTTGTCCAACGTCTGAGCAGTCACGAGGAGCTGCCCTGGCGCAACAAGCAGAGGACCAGATGCCAGTCAATTAGTTTGGGGTATTGCCAGGAGTTGGCTGGTTCCCGGTGGTGTCCTGTGAAAGTGGTGACAAGGACCCGGAGGACGCAATGGT